GCTAATTATAGATGGGGAAATTTAGCAAGTTACTTAAAGGGCATCCCAAGAAATGAGTTGGGGCACTTTAACTATTGTGATAATTAGGTTTTCTCAGTAGGATTATTCAAATTTTAAAGAAGAAAGTAAAAGAGGTTGTAACAGTGTGAGAGAGAGGAAAAGAGAGAGAAAGACTGAGAGGTATCCGGACTTGAAAACAAGAGGGCCTAGTATGAAATGCTAAGGGCTTGGGTTTCATTTGAGGTAATGAGGAGTCATTGAAGAATTTTAAGCGGGATAATGACATGATGGGATTTCATTGTAGGAAGAGCACTTTGGCAGCAGTAGAGAGTATAGATTGTGAAGTGTGAGGCAGCAGATAAGAAGATGAGTTGGGAAGAAAATTCAATAGTTCAGGTGACCATAATTAAGGCAATGTCAACGGTACCAAAAGAAAATAATAAGAAAGATAGGACTTGGTTATTATTTTGACGTGAGACTGAGGAAAAGGAAAGAGAAAAGTGGAACATGACTTCCAAGTTTCTAAATTATGAGGCCAGATGGATGGTACTGCTTCTAAATAAAATGACAAGAGGAGTTATGAGTCAGGAAAGTTAGAAGTAAGGACATTCACTCTGATGACCACAATAAGGAATTAGGGGCAAGAGCATCTTCTGAGAGAAAAGAGGAAGGTGTTTATACAGGAAAGTTGTAGAGAATAGTTAAAGTTTTGAAAACTCACTAACAGAAATGAAAAAGGAAGCTGGTCAAGGAATAGCCAAAGCTATTGAGCAGGGTAAAAATCTTAGGACAGGCAGATGAGCATGAATTTGTGGTGAAATCAGTCTGCCATGGTGTACGATTTTTTTTCCTAACAATCCTCAGCCATGTAAGTATATCAGTAGAGGCATGGACTATGGGACTGATCTAGAACTGCAAATTTAAATATCAAGTGCAAGGGAATGTAAGGCATTAACCATAGAGTCTAAGGGAAAAAACAGGAGGGGGACAAGATTGTCTTCAGGAGGATAAAGGTTTAAAAACTACAGATATGAAGCAAAATGCAGCCTGAACAAGAGTGAGACCCTATCTTTACTAAAAATAGAAAAATTAGCCGGGCGTGGTGGTGCATGCCTGTAGTCCCAGCTACTCGGGAGGCTGATGCAGGAGGATCGCTTCAGCCAAGGGATTTAAGGTTGCTGTGAGGTAGGCTGAAGCCAGGGCACTCTAACTCAGGTGACAGAGTGAAACTCTGTCTCAAAAGTAAAAAATAAAAAATGAAATTGGATTGTAGTTTAATAAAAATGAGAAAGTGATAAAGCTGCAAGAATAGGAGGTCATGAGATTAAATTTTCTCATTGGAGAAATTCTATATCTGTGCTGTTCGATATGGTTCAGTATGGCTATTTACATTTAAATTAATTACATTTTGAATATTATGTTCCTCAGTCACACTAGCCACATTTCAAGTGCTTAGCAGCCACTCATGGCTACCACTGTCCATACTGGATGGGGCAGATCCAACATTTCCATTATGTGGAAAGGTCAGTGTGGCTCTAGATAATGCCAGGTTCTAGGGAGTGCCCAGAAGTATGAGTTGCTAAAGATAATGGAGACAAAAGCCTTTGAAGGAGAGGCAATCAAGGGACCAGGAAGCTAGGATATTGGATAGGTTTTCCACAGAGATGTTGAATTCTGCCTGGAGGGTAGCAAAAGCTCTGACAGAGAAAATATGAACTAGACTAAGGTCCTCAGTGAATGGAGGGTGTGACCAGATAGATGAACACCTCAACTTTGTTGGGAGTTGTAATGTGCTTCCTGGCAGTGCATACTAAACCCTCCATGCCTTACCATAGTGTCTCTTGCTCCTGAAATAAACTTGACTGACTCAATGTAGGCCTCGCCCCAGAGTGGTGTCCTAGATTCCACTTAGACATTTCCTGAAATCAGGAAATGGTTTGAAAATCATCTCTTCTGAAATTACATCAAATTGCTTCTGCCAACTCAATACCATGGGGTGGAAAAAGAACCTACTGTGTTAACTCTATATGGCTAGGTTGACTAGGTGGCTGAAAATAATGCATCTATGGGCATAGCTACAGCTTTACATAGGAGATTTAACAGAAATTACCTGTATTAGGATATATCACAAAGCAATCTTTTACTGAAGAACACAGGTAGTTTGACTTGTGTATGTTTATTCTGTTTATTAAGCACATTTGTTATAATCTAGGATTTACATTGAAGTTTTTATGATCAATTCAAGAGGAATGTCTATAATGTAGAAATGTCTTATAACTAGTTATGTTGGCTATTCATGGCTAGACATACCACACAGAATAATTTCCAGTGGCATCAGAGCTAATTGTTACTACCAGATCCCTCCTTCCCCTTTCTTGAAAGTTGGCAGCTTTGAGCTATGAGCCCTTAGTCATCCTTTCCCTGCTAACATCAACTCATGAGCCAGCATAAGTCCTTCCGTTCTCTCAGTCCTCTGTCCCTCACCCCAGTGATTATTGTTAATGCCCTTGCAGGGAAAGGTTTACCATTTTGGAAAGGTTATTAACACCTTGTTTGGGTTAATAACTGAACAATCTTTTTCTCTATAACTTAACTAATTGTAAGTTGATATAAACTCAATCCTTTTTTTCCTTTTACTGCTTGTAATCCCTCTTTTCTAATTTTGTTCCTATCTGAAATTTTATTTCCACTTGTTCTTAAGAACTAGGAAGAAGCTGGGTGCTATTTTCCTGTTTCTTATTTTTCAATAGACTACACATTTTTAGTCTGTTGATTCTGCTAGGTTTTATAGTTATTTGTGTGTAATATGCTCTTCCATAGCAATATGCAGTGGAAAATTCCTTTTGACAAGCCATAGCAAGCTTAATTGAATCATGACGTATACCATTAAATAGCTTCCAGTGGAGCAAACAATCCTTTTCCTAAGGCAGCACATGCTTCCACCAGGTTTCAACATGACTATATGGTCTCACATGAGTAAGGAAATTACTTTCTTCATTTGTGAAAAGTTACAGAAAGTTATGAAGTTAATATTTGAATTAACAAATTAAATTTTAAAGCTGTATATAAGATCCACCAGGCTTTCTTCCTCCTTAGATTTAATAAAACCTATTTTTAAAAAACTTAGCACTGAATTACAGGTCAATTTTTAAATGTTTTGTTTCTGTTGTTTAATCATTCCCTAATGAGAATCTCATATCAATTCTTTTAAAATTTTTATTTTATTTTAAATGTCACACGCTAAACAATATTAATAGAAACTATTCTATCAAGATACTATTTCTGATTCTTTACCGTGGACTTTGCAGTCTGAAGCCATTCCAAATTCCAACATTACCTTTAATGTTTTCAGGACAGATGCTGTTACAGCTTTTAGCACAAGTAGTAGAATATCTGCATACATTAGTTAACTTGTGAACCTTCATCCGAACATTCTTCAAAAGCCCACGGGATCTGTGTGATATTCTAGATTCAATGTCAGTCTGAAGAGTAACATCAGTAATGGGCATCATCCTTATTTCCCTCCCCACTGCAGCAATAAGGTAGGGAAAGGAAGATTGTAAACCATTGATTTGAACCACATAAGAGTGTTGAAAATAAATTGTGCTATCTGCTGTATTTGTCCCCAAAGCCAAATTTACCTAACACATAATACAAGTAGTCTCATTCAATTGCATCAAAGGACTTCTTGGCATCTAATAAAATCATTGCTATTGGTTCCAATTTTCTCTTTGTATTCCAGATGAGTTGCATTAGTCTATGCAGATTATCTGATGATTATTTCCCACACATAAAGCCCTCTTTGATAAGGGTCTATTAGATTTGTGATTATTTAGTCATGTAACAAGTGCTCAGGTAGCTATTAATATTATTTTATACCTACCCACATTATATGAAAGGATTATCTTTCACAATACTACAAAAGGAGCAATATGCAATCTTGAGTATAAGGCTATATATATATATATATATATTAAGATAAAGAACTGTAGGCTACTTTGATTTCAAACCACAGATAATATCTGATGCTTTAAAAATTCAGCACAAACCTTTTAAATGCATTACATTTATTCATAGTCTGTTTCTGAAACTAGTAGCTGTTCAGCATGCTGATGGCAGGGAGAAGTTAATGTGTTGGTAAGCAACCTAAATTTTTATAAATCTATTTTGAAAGTAATGCAAGGCCACAGAAAGTAATATCAATTACTCCTAGCTCTTCCATTGACACTGCAAATCTCTTCCAAATTTATTCTTCAGTTCAGCATCTGTAAAAAACAGGAAGGCACAGAACACCTCCATGGGAGATTTCTGGGTATTAAAATCACAAGAGTACTCCTTTAGAAGATGCCCTGAACTATTTCAAAGGGTTTTCCCAAGTATTGATTAATCCTTGATGTCCTGGGAATAATAGGTAATTGTATAAAAGTGAGAAACTGAACAATGAAGAATGGGTTAAAACTAGTTTTTAATCTTGAGTGTTTCTATAACCTACACTGCATGAGACAGCACAGTGTAGGGAAAAGTGCCTGGACTTTGGAGTCAGTTTTAATCTTGGCTCCACCCTTTACTTACCAGTGTAGCCTTGGCAAGCTACAAATAGCACCGAGCTTCAGTTTTCTCAGTCACAAAAGGGGGTTATAATACTCACTTCTGGATTTGTTTTTAAAGATCAAAAAAGATAATATATATAAAGAATTTTTAATCAAATAGTCAATGTTCAATAAATGTTAGCTGTTTCATTATAATTATTGTTAATAAAATTATATATATAATATATATAAATACACATATACATTTTCCAGTAATCATAGGAAAAAAGTCTAATCCAATGGCACAACAAGTATTCAGGTTAAGTTTCATGGCATTATATGGAGAAAATAATGACATTCAATAAAGTACACTGAAAATTTACTATATAATTAAGCTATACAGAAGAAATCTACTTTTTATGCCTATGGTACCCGAAGACAAAATGTCAAATTAAAAAAATAAACTAATAAGCACAAACAAACAAACAAAAACAAAAATATTTTTCATCATCATTAACCTTCTGTATTAACTCAATATATTGGATTGGGTCCAAGAGAACTAGCTTTACTCTAAACATATAGGTTAAATATAAAGAAAAAAATGGTTAATAGTTTGAAGGTACAGAAAAAACTTCTTCCTAGGACTTTCCAATTATATGAACCCAGTTACACATGCTTGTAAAACAAAAAATAGTTAATGAACAAATAGTCTCTACTCTAAATGCACAGAATGTAATGAACAATTCAAAAGTATCCGGCTTCAGCAGAATTTTGTATTTCTATAAACAGAGTTGTTTTTTTTTACAGCTCATTTCCAAGTAGATATAGCCTTTTGAAGTATGCTGCATAATTTTTCTTAATAGTTGGAAAATATGTTTGGACTCTAAGTAAAGTAATTCCTGGAGAAAATACATGATCCCAAACTGAGGCTAAAACCCTAAATACATAAAAAGAAGTATATACAATATTCCTTGGATATATGTAAACAGGGAAAGTCACTTAGTAAATGGTATTGGGTTTTGGTATTAGTATAATCCACTCTCATTAGGCATCTCCCTCATGTGCATTAATATGTGACATCATACTCTCATATAACATTTTATAACAAAGTGAAATAAAAAGCTCTTCCAGATTGCAACTGTAAGATAATCAGATTCTCTAGCGCTCATTATGACTGCAATTATGTGACAAAACTCTCCAAATATAGTTCAGTTATTGCAGTTATTAATCATTCTGGTTTTGTTTCAAGCACTTGCTTTATAGCCTGCTGGATAGACTCCATTATTCTATAAGCTGAATGTTGAAAGTCAAACATGTGCATGTGAATCTGCTGTTCTAAAGGCCTTTCAATATAATTTAGCCTTTCAATTTGTATTTGTGAATACAAAAAAAAGTGGGGGAAATAAAGCTGGTGTCAATAGAGTCACTGACCTTTGCAGTAAACAGAAGATAGTCCTTAACAGAAAACACTTCACAAATAAGAAACCTATTTTGTTAGAACTAGAAATAGTGCTGTTTAAAAAGTTAGTCTCAGAATACCAATCAGCTCTTATAGAAAAATGGGGGAAAAACTGACAAATCTATATATTTGATAAGAATGAAAACAATAAGAATCATGGCAAATGTGCATTTTTAAAGGTTCAAAGCACCAACATCACGGATAGACTAGTTCTAAACATTTTATGCATTAAACCATGTATACTGATTAATTTAACTACAAATGCCAAGCAAAAGACAGAAGATTTATTATACAGAACAAACACCATCTGCACCACCTTAAATCACTGCAACAGATATATTTCTAGGAAAAAAATGCACCTGATTCTCAAGCCTAGATTATGAGATGCTAAAGCATTAAATAAATAGGACTCCAAATAGACCCAGAGAAAGTATCTGCATAATTATTTAAATATTAATACATAGTGAGCTCAAAAATAAATATAATAATACATCAAGATAGTTTACAAAATTCATGTCACCATTTTCCTGTGCTTTATGATTTTTTCAATTTGGCTACATACATTGGGCCCCAGGCTTTGCCTTTATCTGGAATCACCAAGAGTCCACATTCCTGGGCAATGGGAGCAAATGTGAAGTCTTGGGACCAAGTCCTTGCTATTCCCTTAATGTCCACAGGCATGATGTTATTGTGAGAGTTTAAAATTTCACTGATTACATCTTGATTTTCTGCCTTGGATAGTGTGCATGTAGAGTACACGAGTAGACCTCCAGGACGTAAGGCCTTAATTGCAGACCTGTGTGTAATCAGAGAAATGCAGAAGGTTAGTGAGGTACATTAAAAGGAAACTAGGGGGTCTGACCACAAGAAGATTACATACTTGAAGCTAACTTTACTTTGACTCAGACTGCAATAATTTTGGATGTTTTCTAGCATTACACATATTTCTTTCTAACATCCATGGATGGGACCGAAAAAATGATAATTAGATCAGTCAACATGGAAAAGACAGAAAGAGTGTGTTTTTGACTGATTGGTTGTTTTGTTCTTTTAAAAGTAGGAAGATGGGGGTAAACTATAGAATAATGGGTTGTCTTTGAATCAATGGAAGTGAAAGTAAAAACAAAGATATTAACTGAATGCATATATAAGAAACCATTGATTCCATTCTCCCATATATTGCAAGTTGGGCAATCAGATCAAAAGTTCTTATGTAAAAAAATTTAATAACCTAATAGGGGAAAGCTTAGGCAGCCACTGTAGCTGTTGACCCCCAAATCAAAGACCTCTGCATTGTACCTTGAAGAAAGCCCCCAGAGTAACAGCTAGCTGATCATAAAGTAATATAAAGTAATATTAACAGGCACAAGGTCTCACCCTTAAAATAAACTTCTAGTACTTTTATTGTCTTATTATTAAATACAAATGTATAACCAAGGATTACAAGATAATTAAGGATGAAAAATACTTAAGCAATGTGGAAGAGAAAGAACAAAATAAACAACAACAAATAAATGACCTAGGAAGAAATAGAAAATTCAGGGAACAAAAGGAAATAAGATCTAATAAATGCAGAAAGATCAGCAAATATATTACACTCATAAAACGGTAACAGAAAACCACGTAAAAAGACCAGAAAGAGATCTTAGAAATTAAATATGTTTACCAAAATAAAGAATATTCAATAGAAGTATTTGGAATTAAGGTTGAAGAAAACTCCCCCCCAAAAGTAGAATAATAACAGATTCACTGAAAATGAGACAGGGAGGATTAATCAAACAGGTCCAAATTCAATTAACAAGAGTACTAGAAAGATATTATAGAGAATTAAGAGAGGGGGAGTCGAATTAATGAAATAATAAAAGAATTTTCCAGAGATAAGAAAAAAAAATGAGCTCTTCAGATTGAAAGAATTTATCAACAGGTTAGCATATTCATTATTATTTATTGAGTATCTATTATGTGCTGTGCATTGTTCTAGGTGTTGGTATATATCAATAAACAAAACAGACCAAGAAGAAAAAAATCCCTCACCTTTATGAAGCTTACATTCTAGCTAGAGAATATAGAATATAAAAAATAAATATGTTATGGGCTGAATTATCTCTCTCCAAAATTCATCTGTTTAAATCCTAACCCCCAGTACTTCAGAATGTGACTATATTTAGAGACAGGATCTGTAAAGAGGTGATTAAGTTAAAAGCAGTTCATTAGGGTGGGCCCTAATCAAATATGACTAGTATCCTTACAAAAAGAAGAAATTTGGCCATGGTGTTACAGAGGGAGGACCATATGATGGAGATACACAGCAAAGATAGTTATCTACAAGCTACCAAGAGAGGCCTCAGATGAAACTAATCCCAGCAACACCTTTATTTCAAACTTCTAGCCTCCAGAACTGTGAGAAAATAAACTTCCGTAGTTAAGCCACCAGTCTGTGGCATTTTGTTATGCAGCCCTGGCAAACTAATACAAAGTATATACATACATGTTTAATATGTAAACACATACATATACAAACATAAACACATATATGTTTACACATAATACATACAAAAATATATGGATATACAATGTAGAAACATACATATACATATGTGTGTGTTTGCAAACATTTTTTACTTAGGAAGCAATTGAGTGATAAGTTCTATGAAGGAAATTAAAGCAGAAAGAAAGGATTAGGAATGCTTGGATGGCTGGGAGATTGCAATTTTAAATCAGGCAGTTAGAATAGAATGCCATTTCAGAAAGTGACATTTGGACAAAGATCTGAGGAAATAAGGGAGTGACCCAAGCAGATATCCCAGGGAAGAGCCTTCCACACCAAAGGATGGCCAGTGAAAAGACCTTGAGGCATGTTCAAGGCAAGATGAGGCCAGTGTGCTGTAGCAAGGTGAGAAGAGGTGGTAGTCTGTGATGAGATCAGAAAGAGGAAGAGGAGGTAGAGGGTCTCATGGAAAACTGTAAAAAGTTCAAACCTCTAATGAACGAAAAACATCCAGATTTAGATAGATCACTGTTAAATTTTGGGACTTTAAGAATAAAGAGAAGATGCTCAATGCCTCCAGAGAGAAAAATGGGTCACCTATTAAGAGTGCAGGAATCACACTGGTATCAGTGGAGTAGCGCATTCCAAATTCTGGGAAAAAGCCATTTAAAGTGAATCTTATTTGCAGCCAACCCATCAGAGAAATATGTAGGAGGAATACAGAAACTTGCAGATATCTGATGATTCAGAATTTTTACCTCTAGCAAAATGAGGAGGTAAATCAAGAAAGAGGAGAAATGTGACCCAGAAAAGAGTGAATGCAAGACAGGAAAGCAGTAAAGAGAGTGCCTTTCAGGGCACTCCAATCAGGACATTGAACTAACAGAGAAAAAAATTTAATTCTAATATATTCCTCCATTCTGTAGTAGACAACACTTACAGAAGTAAACAATATACACCACTTAGTGGTCTTCAATGTTCACAATCACTCCATAGGATGATCTTGGTAATGTTTCAGAGCAGATTATAAAATCTCAGAAAGAATACTATCAACCTTGACAATGTAAAAGTACAAGTAAAGTTGTAAGCCAGTGGGAAGTGGAAGGGAGGGAGACATGGAAGGCAGCATAGGCAAGTAAATATTCTTTTTGTATGAAAGGAGAAACCAAGAGATACTTCCCTAGTTATTTTTAAAAAGATAATAAAGAGAAAAAGAGGGTTGAAGTACGTATAAGAGAAACTTTCCACCACTAACAGAACAAGAAATATAGATCTGACTGTACAGTACCAAGTTCCAGAGTTGACTCAGGGAGAAACAGCACAGGGTGAGATTACAGGGTGCAGAGTAGTGTGAGGAGAGAAGGGTGGTGGAAGTGAGACAAATCTAACCACAGGTCAGTAGTCAATGTCTAAAGTTGATACATTTTTTAAAAAAGATAAACATATTATTTAGAGACTTGAGGGTGACCTGAGAATAAATTAGGAACCGAAATAATGAGAAGTCATTGCCTCTGAGGAGTAAGAGAGGGAGGAATGGCAAAGGAAAGCTCCTTTTCACTAGAAGTTCATTTAGGCTTTTAATTTTTTACTCATGAACTTTATTTCCATAATAATACAAATTAAAGGGGAGATTTGACAGGAGAATATCGGAACTTTTCCCATGGAGGTCAGTTATATGTATTTTTTTTTTTTAATTTTGACTGTTAAGTGATATTCTCTCTAGGAAATGTATTCCCTGAGTTCCCAGATAACTAAAATTTTATGGTATCCTGAATTTCTATACTTTCCATGTGTTCATTTATTGAATAAAATATATTTTGGAGGTGTCTACCACTTAGGGTCTACTTACCCATAATTATTTGTTGTTTAGTCTCTAAAAATATTTTTTATATGTATCTTCTCCTCACTGTTCACTGTCCTCTAACTATCCCCCACAAAAACAAAAAAGGCTCATATCTGGACATCAAGAGACATGAAATGTTAAGGGATAACACCCCATGGTAGGAAGAATGATGATCGCCCCAAGATGCCCACATCCTAATCCCCAGAACCTAGAAACATGTCATTTTACATGACAAAGGGATGTTTGCAGATGCGACTAAATCAAGGATCCCCTGGTGGGAGATTATCCTGGATTATCTGAGTGGTCCAATGTAATGACAAAGGTTCTTATAAGCGAGAGAGGGAGGCAAGAGAGTTAGAGAAGGAGATGTGATGGGGGAAGTTAAGGTTGGGGGTGAAAGGACTGCTGGCCAAAGGCAATAGAGCAAAGGTATGTATGTGGGCTGCTACTGGAAGCTGGAAAAGGTGAGGAAATGGATTCTCCCCTAGAGCCTCCAAGGGGAACATAGCTCTGCCAGCACCTGGAGTTTAGCTCCATGAGACCCATTTTGGATGTCCTGACCTCCAGCAGTGTAAAGGTAATAAATCTGTGTTATTTTAAGCCACTAAGTTTGTGGTAATTCATTACAGTAGCATACAATAGGAAACAACTAATACACACTTGGTGATGGCTTTTTTGTTGTTTTGACAGCAACACGCTAAGGCATATACTAAAATTTGTATAACTTATAACTACACTCATTTTGGATCATTTTCTACTGACTACAGCAATAAGTATCAGATTTTCTTTACAAATGTTAGATTATTATGGAAGGGATAAATGCAGTATTTTAATGCAGATATTTTTAAACTCCCATTAAAAGGACTGATTTTGGTCCTCGTTCCTCAATTAGCAAAGCCAATGCTTAATCAAGTATGATTCTTCCTCATTAAAGTTGTACAAAAGTACACAGAAGCCTCATCATTTACAAACAATATGTTCCTGGCTTAATGCAAATTTAAATTAATTTAAATTAAATTAATAATGTTCCCAATATTGGCTGATTCTTCTGCTTTGTTTTCATTTTAACATTCATAATTTATCTTTCTAAAATTAGGTCGGTATAATTCAACTGCCCACATTAATTTCTAAACAAAAAAAGTTGTGTGTGGCAATACAAAGCCTTCATTAACAAATTAAGTTAATCTCAAAACTCTAGAGCAAAATGTTTAGAATTCCTGTCAAATGGTTGTTACTGTTTTGCAACTGCTGGTTATTATTTAAATATCATTTTTATCCTTTTGCTTCTATAGTTATGGATTCTGAAAGCACCATTAATTTGTATTCAAAGTCAAGGAAAGCAGGCAATCTGTAAGAACTCACTTCCAGAGTTTATAGCTAGGACTTTTCTATACTGAGAATTATCTTATGCCACAGATGACATTTTTCTCATGAATTGAACGAGTCCATATTGAAGTCTACCAGT